GGTGGGCGTGGCTTGGTGGGCATGGTGTGGCTTGGTGGGTGTGGCTTGGTGGGTGTGGCAGGGGAAGGATACTGCAAAATCTCCATTCCCTCTCCACTCTGGGGCCAGCCAGAGATGGCATTTGCCGGTTCTCCAAACTACTCAAAATTTCTGCTACTGGTTCTCCAGAACCTGTCAGAACCTGCTGGATTTCACCCCTGGATGAAAGGAAGAAAAATGGAAGAGAAGGGAAGAAGGGAGGAAAGAAAGAAAAAAGGGAAGAGAAAGGAAGGGAAGAGAAGAAGAGAGGAAAGAAAGAAAAAGAGAAGATAAGAGAAGAAGGGAAGAAAGAAGGAAAAGGGAAGGGAACAGAAGGGAGGAAAAAAGGGAAGGGAATGAGAACGGACAGGAGGGCAGGGGAGAGGAAAGGGGGAGGGAGGAAGGGGAGAAAAGAAAGAGAAGGGAAGGAAGGGAAGAAAACGGAGTAAAGAAAGAGGAAAGGAAATTGACAATTAAGCTGTGAATTTGGGAAAGTTAAACCCTGGTGACCCATCATTATTCCGTCTACTCTAGTCTTTGCATGCACTTTTCTCTTCCTTTCCTTGGGAGCATGGAGGGCCTGGGAATTTCAGTGACTTTATTATTATTATCATCATCATCATCATTTTTTTTCCCAATTGGCTCCCATAAACCTGAAACTTCTCCAAGTTGTTCTGAACTCTTTCGGCTCTGGCTGAAATCCAGGACTGCAAGACTGTTTCTTTCAGCATTGGGAACCTTGAGAAGCAACTGCATATCCAGAGGGCTTCGGCGGGGGGGTGAGACCCCCAAGGAATTGGTTGCAAAGAAAATAACTCAAAAAACTTTGCGTCAAAACTAAAGGATCCTGAATCTTACAGGGCTCTGGTATGTTTTGATACTAGTTACACAATGGGCCTTCCTGGCAGAGGTGAGTTGCTGCCGGTTCGGCCTGGTTTGGCCGAACCGGTCATGGAATTCAGGCCTGGGTCGCAAAACCGACAGTGCCCCAGGCCTGACACGGCCCCAAACCAGTTCCCCTGCTGCTACTTGGGCGCTGCCGTTTTGAATTTTAGTGACTGCGCGTACACATCTCACTGTAAATTGTTCTGCGCATGAATGCAGAACAATTTACATTGAATAGCGCATGGGTTGCGAACTGACAGTAACGCAACCCACCCCTGCATAAAATACCAGGAAATTTCCCCTTTCCCCCCTCTCTACGTACCGTCAGTGCATAGAGGAGACCCAAACCTACAAGGCCAGCTGCGGATTTTTCAGCGATGAAGGCCACGGCTGCTGTGAGGACGATGAAGGCGCCCACGTAATCCTTAAAGGGAGGGAGAGACAGAAAGAGAAACGATTTGTACGGCAAAGCTAAGCGGAACAAACATTAAAAGCCCCATCAACCCAATGGATGTGTCAGCCTCTGCTTTGCTGTTGCTTCGGCTGCCATGAAACGGGGAGGGAGGGCATGGTATTTGGGAGGNCTCTCCTTCTCCTCCCTTCTTCCCTTACCTTTCTCCTACGCCTGCTCTTCCTCTTCCACTTCCTATCCTCTCTCCTTCTCTTTCTCTCCCTTCCACCCTTCTCTCTTTACCTTTTTCTTCTTTCCCCCGTCTTCCTTTCTTTCTTTCCCCCTCTCTCCCTTTCTTTTTCTGTTATTGTTAGTGTATATTTCAAAACTCAGTTTATGTTTCCTTGGGATGGTATTTCCGTCAGCCCAAATATGATTTAATATCATTTCTTATTCCCTTACCTTCACTAGTCTACCCTAGGTGTGATTCAAGGTTGGAATACTTTGTATGTTGAGATGGTCCCCTAGAAACTCCAAATGGGGGTATTTTGAAATGACAGCAAATTCAAAACGTGACACACACACATCCCGAACTGCAAAACTGATTCAGAGGACTTACCATCAAATATGTCTACCATCCTGAAGAAAGCCAGCGAAAGGGAGGACTTCCCACTGCCAGTGCGGCCACAAATCCCGACCTTAAAAAGAAGATTTATTGTGGCTTTTTATAGGTAGCATTTAATGGGGGTAATTACCAATTGTTATTGCTTAATGATAATTAAAAAAAGATCACTTCTTCACAATGGGAGGGGTAGAAAGTTAGCACCCATCCCTCTTCTCCAAGAAGAATGAAATATTTTGAGAAATATTAAAAAAAAGGAAGAATATTATATTTCCCTGGATGAGAAATGGAGAAACATGCTCTTGGGAAGCAGCCCCCACCTTCCTTAATAGCCCACAGCAGGTGTCAGCACTTAAGCCTGCTTTAAGACGAAACGGCATTAAAGTTCCTCAGAGAGGATTCAGAAAGAAACAAGGATAAACTAGGACAGGAGTCGGCCACCTGCGGCTCCGGAGCCGCATGTGGCTCTTTCATTCCTCTGCTGCGACTCCCTGTTGCCAGTTGGCTCCACAATTGATAGGGCTTTTTGGTTAGGACAGGTAGAGGAAAAAGGATGCCGTGCTAGGAGGAGATTCTATGGTACGGGAACCAGACTTCCAGTTGGTTCCAGAATTGAACGGGGGGCTTCTGGTTAGGACCTTTATGGCTCTTTGAATGTTTAAGGTTGTCGATCTCTGACTTAAGAGATAAAGAGAAAGGTAGCTCTATTCATAGGCAAAATTTCCCCTCAGCAAGGACTGAAGAAACGTAGAATTGGCCCTCAGCCACAATAGGAATTGCCCAACAAGCCATTTCATCAGCGTCAACCAAGCTTAGCTCAGACAAACTCCTAGGATTTGTACATGGTCCCATGGGAGTCTGACAACAGCCAATGGAATACATGCTCTTGCACAGGAACAGGAAGCTCAAGTTCAAAGCCCAAGAGAAGGTATAAAACCCCCTCACTCTCCATTCCATTGGTCAGCTGCCTAGAACCATGTGCTTGGTGGTTTTGCTTCATCATTAAACCATCTTTCCAACTAGCCTCCATGTTTCCAGAGTCTTCATCCCGGCTTGGAATTGAACCAGATGGATATTTCTTCCAACAGAGGTAACTTAAAACAAATATTAAGACTTCCCTTAACCAAAATGAAAATAGAGATAAAGNTCTATCTATCTATCTATCTATCTATCTATCTATCTATCTATCTATCTATCTATCTATCTATCTATCTATCTATCTATCATCTATCTAACTACCTGCCTCTATCCATCCATTCAACCATTCATCCATCCATCCACTTACCTACATTTAATCTAATCTAATCTAATCTATCCATCCATCCACCTATTTACCTACCTACTTCTATGTATCTCCATCAATCCAAATCTAATCTAATCTAATCCAACCCAACCCAACTCAACCCAACCTCTATTTATCCATCCATCCATGCATCCATGCATGCATGCAATTATTTGTTTGACATTCATTTGTCTGGTGTAGAGAAAAGAAGGATCAGGGGGGGTGACATGATAGCAGTCTTCCAATATTTGAGGGGCTGCCACAAAGAAGAGGGACTCAAGCTATTCTCCAAAGCACCTGAAGGCAGAACAAGAAGCAACGGATGGAAACTAATCAAGGAGAGAAGCAACCTAGAACTAAGGAGAAAGTTCCTGTCAGTAAGAAAAATGAATCTGTGGAACAACTTGCCTCCAGAAATTGTGGGTGTTCCAACACTGGAGGTTTTAAAGAAAAGACTGTAGAGCCATTTGTCTGAAATGGGACTGGGTCCCCTGCTTGAGCAGAGGGGGTTGGACTAGAAGACCTCCAGTGTCCCTTCCAGTTCAATTCTAATAAATTCTAATTCTAATATTCTAATAATAATTCTAATTCTAATAAAACTAAAACTAAATTCTAATTCTAATTCCACACTTAGACCATTCCTGGGCATTTTATGGTTCTTTAGCTGTCCCTATCCAGCCACATGGTTTGTTTTTATTTTGATAAAAGATAAGGTAATGGTTAATGCTGTCCAAAGACACCTCCGTGGCCATGTGGCCAGCACAGCTAAATGCCAAAGGAGCACAGAATGCTATTACTTTCCCACTGAAGTGGTACCTATTTATCTACTTGCATGCTTTTGAACTGCTAGGTGTGCAGCGATTAGATTGAAAACAGTAGCTGACCATGCCGTGCGGTGCTCGAACCTACGCTGTGAGCACTCCAGCTGACAAGCTCAGTGTCTTTAACTGCCAAGCTATTGCGCGTCCTGTCAACTTTAAAATGACTATTTTTCCCCCCAGTTTATATATGTACCTATGTGCATACCTATGCACTATAAACAGCTTTATTGGTTCGGCAATCCATAACAGTTTCTGACATGGCACCTTGGGAAAATTAATTGTCTTGGACAAGTTTCCCTGCAAACTAACCAGCTACAAAAGGTGAGATTTCAACTCCTATTGTCACCAGAAACAGGGGTGTTGAACTCAAGGTCAATGGGGCCATCCTGGTCTATCCAATGCAGAGAGGAAACACTGCCAGTAGTTTGGGGAGTGGTGTCAAGTTGGCCACGCCCACCCAGTTGGCCACAACCACCTAGTCGGCCACACCCGACCATCCGCCCACCTCCCCCGGAGGTCAACCACAGCCCTGATGCACTAGAACTGCAATAGCGAACCTATGGCATGCGTGCCTGAAGTGGCACATGGAGCCATGTTGCCTGTCACACACACACGGTGTTGCCCGTTCCCCTTCCGGGTTTCTGGCGCGCACGCATGCACGATGATCAGCTGGCTTTTGTGCATGCAGCAGTGCCAGGAGAACTGGCCTTCTGTTTCCCGGTGTGAACATGTGTGCTGGCCAGCTGATTGTCGCACGTGCGTGCATGTCGGGAACCAAATGGCCTGGCAGTGCGCATGTGCACACTGGAAACCAGAAGTTCATTTTCTGGTGTGTGCGTGCATGCCTCCTGGGCAGCTCCTCTTCCAGGTTGCAGCCCAGACGAGTGTGCACGTTGCACTCCCTTTTCGGCACTGAGTTCACCATCGCTGCACTAGGAAATACCAAGGGACTGTGGAAGTGCCAAGTATCAGCCTACGGATCTACTATGGCCTCTCTTGGCTGAGTCTGCATTCCTGGAACAGTGTGCAGTCACAAAAAATGTGGAAAACAGCAGCAGAAACCAAGCTGCCTTGCTGAGGAAGCACAATGGGTTATAGTTTGGGACATAAAATAAGGGAGGGACCTTGGAGGTCTTCTAGTCCAGCCTCCCCGCTCAAGTGGGAGCCCCGGAATCATTTCGGACAAATGGTTGTCCAGCCTCTTTTCAAAAAGCCTTCAGTGATGGAGCACACACAACGTTTGAAGGCCGGTCCTTCCCTTGGTTGATAGCTCTCCCTGTTAGGAAATTCCTCCTTAGCTCTAGGTCGTTTCTCTCCTTGTTTAGTTTCCAACCATTGCTTTCTTGTCTGGTGCTTTGGAGAATAGGTTGACCCCCTCTTTCTTCTATGTGGGAGCCTTTCAAATATTGGGAGACTGCTGTCTTGTTCACCCATTAGTTGTTATTTTCGTTAGACTAGACCAGTGGTGAAATTCGACCAGTTCTATGGGCGTGGCTTGGTGGGCGTGGCAGGGGAAGGATACTGCAAAATCCCCATTCCCACCCCACTCTGGGGCCAGCCAGAGATGGCATTTGCCGGTTCTCCAAATTACTCAAAATTTCCGCTTCCGCTTCTCCAGAACCTGTCAGAACCTGCTGGATTTCACACCTGAACTAGACATCCCCAGTTCCTGTAAGCGTTCTTCATATGTTTAGTCTCTAGCCTCCTAATTGTTTTAGGGGCTCCAGGGGTTAACTTCGAAGAAGAGATTTTATTGGTGAGAGACTTATCCTAGATAAAGTTACAACTCTAGGTTGCAGGGACTTAAATTTTCTCTACTAACTTCTGACGACAATCCTAGACGTGGTTGTCTATGTTATACTTCATGGAAGGTAACGTTGTTAGACAGGATATTACTCATAGAAGAGAATATTTGTGCCTCAAGGTCGTGGCACATGATGTTCCCTAGTTTAGTAATGAAACATCTGCCCAAAAAAATGTGCCACCAGAGAGCACCAAGGACCCCACAGATAGGGTATATCCAAGATTTTCCACTGGTCTTTCTTTGGACTGGTGTTTCTCAACATTAGAGATTTTGAGCAGACTTGAACTCCCAAAATTTCCCAGCCAGCCAGCTATTCAGCCATCCATACATCCACCTGCCAAATCTAATCTAATATAGTCTAATCCAATCTAATCCTATCTATTTACCTATCTAACTACCTACCTATCCCTCCCTCCCTCCATCTATCCACCTACCTACCTACCTCTAGAGCCGAGGTGGCACAGTGGTTAAATGCAGCACTGCAGGCNAAGGGATGTCGGGCACCAAGGGAAATAAAAGAATTGTTAAGAAAGCAGAACACAGAATAACAGAGTTGGAAGGGACCTTGGAGGTCTTCTAGACCAACCTCCCCTGCCTCAAGCAGGAGACCCTATACCATTTCAGACAAATGGCTGTCCAACCTCTTCTTAAAAACTTCCAGTGTTGGAGCATTCACAACTTCCGGAGGCAAATTCTGTTCCACTGATTAATTGTTCTCACTATCATGAAATTCCTCCTTAGTTCTAAGTTGCTTCTCTCCTTGATTAGTTTCCACCCATTGCTTCTTGCTCTACCCTCAGGTGCTTTGGAGAATAGCTTGACTCCCTCTTCTTTGTGGCAGCCCCTCAAATATTGGAAGACTGCTATCATGTCTCCCCTAGTTCTTTTTTTTTTTTTTTACCCCTGGTACAGTAATCTGCATGCACCATGCCAAACTACGATGTTGGATGGAGGTAAGAATCTGCCCTCAATGGAAGCAGAGTAGAGACTCTGTCCTGCTAAGATTGGCTTCAGTTGGTACCCCTACGGATGTTTTGGCCTGCAACTTCCTGAAGCTTTCATATAGCATGACCAAATCCTAACGGAAAGTACCAGTTCCAGACAGAAGACCTTGTTTAGAAATCTTCCACCCCAAAGAGAACATCTGGAACCTTTAACAAGCATATAAAACTTACCGAGGGATGAACTCATTACTAACAACAGAACAGAATGACCGAGTTGGAAGGGAGCTTAGAGATCTTCTAGTCTTAACTGCTCAAGCAGAAGACCCTATACCATTCTTAGACAAACAGCTGTCCGGTCTCTTCTTGAAAACCTTCAGCGATGACGCACCCACAACTTCTGAAGGCAAGTCGTCCCACTGATTAATTGCTTCCACTGTCCAAAAATTTCTCCTTAGTTCTAAGGTAGCTTCCCTCCTTGACCCACCATCTACTGGAACTGCTAAGCCAACTCCGTGCTCGTCCTTCTGGCCCAAAACAAGGGTGACTGTCCTGAAAGTCCCCAGATATTTTTGAACCCATACAGGCTGAAAGTGAGAGAAACTGAACCCCAGCATTAGATGGAACTTGTAACGCCTCCTCCTTATAGAGGAGATGGACGGCATGAAGATGTGATAAATATCAAAGGCTAAACCCATAGTGTGAAAGCATGGTGGCATCTCAGCTCTTCTTCCCTTTGGAAATCCTCCGGGTTTTACGTACCCCCCCGTCTTCCTCCCTTGTCTCGGGATAGCTGTTTCCTAGTTCCTTTCCATCTCTTCCCTTCTTCTGTTTAGAAATACACATTCCCACACCCAAAGCGGGCCCTGCACTCAATTATTTGGAACTAGAATCGTCCTTAACATCCTCCCTTTAGCTTTAGCTCCTACATTCAGCCCAAAATACATACTAAAGATCCATATTCTTTGGTGGGCAAGTCTTTGAAAGCATTAGATATTCTACCCCTACTAGCATTGTATTTTTTTCCCCCTCTCCCTTTCCTCAACTATACACATAGTTTCCTTGACTCGCAACCACCGTTGGGGTGAGAATTCTCATGGCTACCTGAGCGGCGTCCAGTTTTACAACCAGGGTTGTTAAGCGACTCACTGAAATTGTTCGGTGAATCCCGTGGTCCTGCAGCAAACCTGATTTCTGGCTTTGCTCGCCGTAAGCCAGCAAAGAAGGTCACAAAACACCAGACAACTAACCTTGCGATGCTCTTTACAACTCTTGCAAATACGTCCCAGTTGCCGAGTGCTCGGATTTCGACGGTGCGGCCATGAGGATGCCACAATAGTTGCTAAGTGCAGGATCTGCTCATAAGTCACTTCCGCCCCCCCCAAAAAAATGTCATTGTAACTTCACACGGTTGCTGAATGAATCGTTTTTAAGTCAAGGACTCACCTGTATCAGCCTTCAAAACTGGGATAAGCTGAGCACCTACTAACATTCCTCACTTCCCCCCATTCTGCCCCTGGATTATTTCCCTTCCACAGAAAATGCAGAACAAACTTCGCGATTCTTTTCTTCCTCTGCAATCCCAAAAAGCTAAAAAAAACTGATTTATTGGGAGAGGGGTGGGAGGGGAAGGGGAATTACCTTTTTCGGCCATTGCAAACCTTGCTGGCAAGGAAAAGTTGCAATCCTCCATCACTGCTGGTTTGACACCCTGCTCCCTTTCACATATTCCTCCCCGTCTGCTCATTGAGAGAGATCTCCTGCCAAGTCCTGCCTCTCTTCTCCAAAAGAAGAGTCTTTTGGGTATTCTGCCAGCAGCCAATACATATATATATTATCTCCAAATGTCATTGGTCGGCTAATCAGCCCGGCCGGCAAGCCGAAGGACAGCACCAAAACATACACATGCTGTTCAAGCACACAATGACATCTACAGAGGCTCCACGGAACAACAGACAAGCACATTTTGTTTCTCAGACGGCTTCACCAAATTCCTCCTAATATCCTGGGCAAAAGTTCAATGGCAACGCAAAGGAGAAAAAAAAAACACCCTGTAATTGTTTATAAAAATAAAAAAAATTATCTATGCTTTGGCCTTCTAGGAATCCACAGCGAAAGGACAAAGGCCGCTGTAGTAATAGGGATGGAAAATAGTCATTTAACTCTATTTAAATATGAATTTAATATAAATATTATATCTACCTACTTACAACTACCCCCCCCTCTCTCTATCTATCTATCTCTACCTACCCACCCACCCACCTACCTACTTACCTACCTTTATCTATCTATCTATCTATCTATCTATCTATCTATCTATCTATCTATCTATCTATCTATCTATCATCTATCTATACATACATACATACATACATACATACATACATACATACATACATACATCTATTCATCCACCTACCCACCCACCCACCTACCTACCTACCTACCTACCTTCATCTATCTATCTATCTATCTATCTATCTATCTATCTATCTATCTATCTATCTATCTATCTATCTATCATCTATCTCCTCCATACATACATACATACA